ATCCCGAAACCTAAGTAGGGATAAGTCAACGTCTAACACGTGTTACCGGTTTAGTCTTTTGCTGAGTAAAAAAGACACCAGAATCTAAGTCTCGGGACTTTTATCCCGAAGCCTAAGTAGAGATAAGTCAGTACCTAACACGCGTTACCGGTTAGTCCTTAACCGTAAAAAGGATAAAAGCCCACATATTCGATATTGTGGCAGGCCGTGATTAATAATGCCAAAATCCGCACCTTACACGCACGAGGAACTTTATCTCAACTCCTAAATAGAGATAAGCCAACGTCTAACACGCGTTGCCGGTTTAATCTTTCATCGATTGAAGAAGACACCAAAATCCAAGTCTGAGGACTTTTATCCCGAAGCCTAAATAGAGATAAGTCAGCGCTTAACACGTGTTGTCGGTTAGTATTTGACCATAAAAAGGACAAAAGCTCATATATTCAATATTATGGCAGGTTGTTATTAATAACATCATAATCCATGCCTTACACGTATGGGGAATTTTATCCCGAATCCTAAGTAAGGATAAGTCAGCGCCTAACACGCGTTGCCAGTTTAGTCTTTCACCGATTGAAGAAATCACCAGAATCCAAGTCTGGGGACTTTTATCCCGAAGCCTAAGAAGGGATGAGTCAACGCCTAACACGCGTTGCTGGTTTAGTCTTTCACCGATTGAAGAAGACACCAGAATCCGAGTCTGGGGATTTTTATCCCGAAACCTAAGTAGGGATAAGTCAGTGCCTAACACGTGTTACTGGGTAGTCTATTCCCGTAAGAAAGACGAAGTCTACGTATTCAATATCATAGCACTAAGAGAGTTAACTCTCTTAAGCACAACGTCACATGCGGAACGGACTTAAACAATCTGCATGCAAGCCCGATTCAAACGGTAATCGGTAAAGGCACGTCAAATCCGTTGAAGGCTGAGGATTTGGCAAAAATCCTAAGTCTACGTCTAACACGCATTGCTGTTTAATCTTTTCATATGAGAAAGATAAAGTCTACGTATTCAATATCATAGCACTAAAAGAGTTAACTCTTTTAGCATAACGTTATGTGCAGAACGGATTTAAACAATCTGCACACTAGCCCGACTCAAACGGTAGTCGGTAAAGGTTCATCAAACCCGTTGATGGCTGAGGGTTTGCCAAAAATCTTATAAATGCAAGAGTAATTAACACACCAGCTTTATTAATTGGTCTCGTGACTCAAAGATCCGACAACCTCAGGATGAGATCCATACCTGCAGATGAATCAACTTTACTAGTTGGTCCTGCAGCCCCGACATTTGGGACAATCATGCTCCAATGCCTTAAGAGTTTAAACTATGTAAAGTCCAGCAAACATTCGAGTATACACTATGTTAACGCCGGTCAATGCGTTACAGCAAAGGTTAACGTCGGTCAATGCGTTACAGTAAAAGTCAAGGCCGGTCAACGCATCGACGATTTCGTCAAAATAAGGCTAAGGAAAAATTTCGGATTAAATGATGATTCCAGGGAATTCAATTGCGATTCAGATATGAATTCCCGACGAAGATAATCAGTTCAACGTCAACTCAACTACACGAGCTAAGTTTAGAAACTTACACACCAACTTCAACAACGGTTAGACGATAAACGCAGCACCGGAAGAGCTTCATCTATACTGAACAGACTGAACGCTGAAAAAGTTAAGAATTGAGGTAGTTCACAGGTCCCTCTACAAGATTGAGAAAAGAGCCTATCTTATCCAAAACATTCCAGACTCCTCTATAAAAGAATGAGTCTGAAATGCTTTGGAGGGGGTATCTATAGGCGTCTAAAAATGCCTATAGATGTCCGTACACAGCTCGAGACGAAGAGAAGATGACGAACGTCATTATCCGAGTCTAGGAGGATTATCTGACACTGACAAGTGCATGAACCGGAATGGCGAACCAACTGTGTCTCGTACGCTCACCGGCCACCTCCAATTGGCCGTCACACCTGTTGGTCAGCCCGTGCGCGTCAGTTAGCTCGCGCACGTCAGTCAGCCACAAGTGACCAAACACACTCGTCAGTCAGCTCGCGCGCGTCGGTCAGATCCAAAGTGCCCGACACGCTTGTCAGTCAGATCTAAAGTGCCCGCCACGCTTGTCGGTCAAATCCAAAGTGTCCGCCACGCTTGTCGGTCAGATCCAAAGTGCCCGACACGCTTGTCGGTCAGATC